TGTGTGCTTGTTTTATTTCTTTTTATTTACATCTTTTTGGTTTGGGGGCCACACCCAGTGATGCTCAGTTTTATTCCTGGCTCTACATTCAGGAATTACTCCAAGGAGACCATATGGGATGCTGGGGATCAAACCTTGGTTGACTGCCTGCAAGGCAAGCACCCTATTCACTGTAACTCCAAGCATATATATATATATATATATATTCATATATATATATATATATATATATATTGCTTTTTGGGTCACACCCGGCAATGCTCAGTGGTTACTCCTGGCTCATGCATGCAGGAATTGCTCGGGGGACCATATGGGATGCTGGGAATCGAACTTGTGTCGGCCATGTTGGCTGCGTGCAAGGCAAACGCCCTACCCGCTGTGCTATCGCTCCAGCCCCAAGCCCATATATTTTTAAACATTTTCATTTTATTTTTAATTTAGTCATTGTGTGAAATTACTTCCAGGCATACAATGTTTCAGAACTGAACTGTTCACCACGGTCTTCTTCCCTCTACCAATGCCCCAGCCCCATATAGTTCATTTCTGGTATGTTTTATTTGAGGATTTGGCTCTCTGCTCAGGAGAGACCCCTGGTGGGCTTGGGAGGCCTTATGCAGCGATTTGAATAGGGGGCGTGTTGCATGCAAGGCAGGCATCTTAACTCTCGCTCGATCTCCTGACCCTCTGGCTCTGTTTTTAAAGAAGTCTTTCCATTCCTGATCTGTAGACACCTGCAAGGAAGAGTAACCAAATTTCATTAACTGCTGCTTAGAAGGCAATATCTGACATCTCTATAATCAGATCTAGCCTCCATCTGTGCAGGGAGCATGGTACAGGCTGGGGACAGATGGTATTTGGAGATATCATTTGCAGTTGTCATAGTGAATGGGGAAAGAGGAAGGGTGGGGAAGGAAACGTTTCTGTCTGTCGCCTTCCTGATCTCTCTTTGGGCTGAGAGGGGCCCCAGGTGAGAAGGGCATTTGCTTTTCTGGCACCTCAGTGAGAAGGTGAGGGGTGTGATACTTCCTTTTCCTACTCAGCCTTGTGGGGAGGATCAGAGGGATGTGTGTGGTCAAAGGTCAGAACTCAAGGGCTTTGAGGGCCAGTGGAGAATGAAGGAGCATGAATACTGGGGGTTTGTTTAGGTTCTATAAAGATTGGTGCCAGGGACTGGGGCACTGACTCAGAAGGCTGGAGTGTGTGATTTGCACATGAGGGCTCTGGGTTGATCCCACTGGGAGCACCACATGGTCTCCTGGCATCAGTGGTGCCCTGCATACCACTGGGAATAGTTTTCAAACACCTCACCAAAAGTGGCCCCTGTGTGCTGCTGCCCCCAACCAAAACAGTATCTTTGTGAGTGGATGCTGTCTTTGCAATTTGTAGGGTATCCATTTCCACAGTGATATCTCTTTGATTTCAAATGTTCTTTTCCTCTGAGGTGAAGTACTGATGTACTTCAAATCCAGGAATGGTTTGGCCAGTGATTTTCAACCTGTTTTCGCCAGCTGGACCAGGGGCTGAAAACCACTGCTGTAGGTTCCCAAGGCGATCCTTTAGTGTTTCTGCAAGAGTTTGCCTGTCTTCCTCTCTCTGCTTCTATTTATTCTGACTCCTTTTTAGTGGATCAGTTTTGTGGGGCGCAAAATCTCCAGCAGTATGGCTGTAGGGTGTGTTAATAGACATAAAATCTTCTTGGGCAAGAAGGGATTAGTTAGTGAGGGCTTGTGTAAGGGTGATTTTGGTCCTGAGCACAGGAAAATGGAGTCTGCTTTCTTCTTAAAAATCAGGCATTCTGTCCCTCTTGGAGGCTGTGATGAGAATTGCTTGAAGGGAGGCACAGAAACTGAGTGGATGAGAACCATGTTTTTTCTTTACTTTCATTTTTTATTTTTTTATGATTTACCGTGAGGTACAGTAACAAAACTTTCATGTTTAAGCTTTGACCGTAGAGTCATCAAATACCCATCCCTTCACCAGTGCATGTTTTGCACCACCAAAATCCCCAGTATCCCCCCCCCCCACCCCATTCCACACCTCCTCCTGCCCGCGTGGCAGACAGTTTGCACAATACTCTCTTTCTCTACTTTAATTACCTTCGATATTTCCAGACCAGTCCCACCACCACTCATGCCTGCCGAAATGGCACTGTCACTGTCACTGTTCACCCGTTGTTCATCGATTTGCTCGAGTGGGCCCAGTAACATTGTGAGACTTGTTACTGTGTTTGGCATATTGAATACACCACAGGTAGCTTGCCAGGCTTTGCTGTGCGGGCGAGATACTCTCAGTAGCTTGCTGGGCTCTCCGAGAGGGGTGGAGGAATTGAACTCGGGTTGGCCATGTTGGCTGCTTGCAAGGCAAACACCCTACCCACTGTGCTATCACTCCCGCCCCAGCTGAAAAGGCAATGCTAGACAATGTGTTTTGTATTGCTTGTTATGGATATAATACAATGTTGCACTCTAGAAATTCTAAAATTTTAATAATTAGGGTCTGAAGAGATCACTGCAGCAAGTTGCATGGGTCTGAGATTCGTTTGTGTGTCTCTGGATCATGGCTATGTGGGAGCTTAAGTAGATGGTGGCCGGATTTTGCATCATCTCAGGGTCCCATCGGGGTGGGGGGAAGGAGAAGGGCTCGCTCCTCCCCTGTCCCGTGAGGCTTGGGATTTGCCACCACTGCCACTCATACCTGGAGCTTCTCGCTGACTTCTAGAAAATGGCAGCCACTGGGGCTCTTAGAGAGCAGGCAGAAAGACAGCAGCTGCCCCATCTGAAGTAGCCCAGTGGAAATGGCCTATTGCAAAGTCCAGGGCCATCTCTGCAGCAAGTTGCTTGAGTCCAAGATGTGTGTGTCGAACCAAGTTTTTTCAAAGTGGAAAGTGACCGCCACTTCTTGAGAGGAGCCTAACTTGGAGAGACAGCATGCGGGGCAGAGAGCTTGTATGTATTCTGCTGCAGCGGGGACTGTATCCCAGAGTGCCAAGGTGGGTGAGGTCAGGAGGGACGGAAGGAAGCCTTGTTGCCATCTGTGAAGCAGCTGGGGTGAAAGGGTTTTTGTGGAGTTGATCCTCCAGGGAAAGAAAGAGAGGGCTCACCTCCCAGGCCCCCGGGAGTCCTCTCCTTCCTCACCTCCCAGTGTCCCGGGCGTCTACTCCCTCGCATCATCAGATTGTGTGTTTGGATGTGGGAACCCCAACTGGGATGTCCCAGAATGAGACCAGACTCAATCACACCGTCAAAGCCCATCTCGGCTCGGAACAAGAAATGATGAGCTAGAGAGTGTCAACAAAACTCACCGGAGGTGGCGCATTCCATGGAAATGCTGAACGTGGGCTGTGGGATATTCTTGTTTGGGGCAATGAGGATTCTGCCCTCTGGGAAGGAGAGGATTTCACTTCCGCCTGCAGGCAATTTTTTTTTTCAGTACGAAATCATTTATTTATTTTATTGAATCACCATGAGGTACAGTTATAAAGCTTTCATGTATGAGTTTCAGTCATGCAATGATTGAACACCCATCCCTCCATCACTGCGCGTTTGTCACCACCGATGCCCCCAGTATCCCTCTCCCCACCCTCCATCCCAGCCCATCCCTCCCCCTGCCTCTATGACAGACAATTTCCCTCTTTCTCTCTACTTATTGATATTATGGTTCTGCAGACAATTTTTATTTCTTTTGCTACTATAGACGAAGTTCTTTTTTTTTTTTTTCTTATTTTGTTTTTGTTTTTGGGTCACACTTAGCAGTGCTCAGGGCTCTTCTGGCTCTGTACTCCTGGCTCTGCACTCAGTGGCAGTGCTTGGAGGACCTTTTGGGATGCTGGGCATTGAACTTGGGTCAGCTGCATGCAAGCCAAACACCCTACCTGCTGTACTATCTCTCCATCCTTTGATGAAATTATCTTAAGTCCACTTCTAGATTTTAAAAAATTGTGCAGAAATACTTGATTTTGTATATTGACTTTGTATCCTGAAACCTGGCTGAATTTCTTCCTAAGTTCTGACAGTTTTGGGTGAATTTCTTAGGACTTTTTTTTCTTTTTTGCTTTTTGGGTCACACCTGGCGATGCCCAGGGGTTACTACTGGCTCTGCACTCAGGAATTACTCCTGGCGGTGTTCTGGGGAACTTATGAGATGCTGGAGTTCGAACCAAAAGATCATATCATCTGCAGCAAAGAGATAGCCTATCTTATCAGGAGGGAATTTAATTTTATGTGGATGAGAAGCTGGATCTTTGCCCGTTCCCCATCTGAATGAGTTCCTAGGAGACCCAACATTCCTCAGGAAACCAAGACCCTCGCATGAGTTTCTGCTTGGCCACTTCCCCTATGTGGCATCCAGTCACAGTACTCTAAAGGCAGAAGCAGAAGCAACCTGAAGACGTCTGTGGACTTCCCAGAGTTCGCACTGCATAGTTTCCATGATGGGTAACCCCAGAAGTATCAGGACCACTTGGAGAACTTGTTTCATTTCCCCTCTCAAGCTGCTCCTGAGGATGGCCCGTGAGGTGGTGTTCGCCTTTTCCCTCTGGGGGCCAGAAGTGGCCTGCAGACAGCATTCCCAGCTGGAGGGACAGAATAAGGACAGGAAGCCGGAAGAGGGCTTTACCTTTGTGGCTGCAGGGCAGACACAGGACCTGGCTGTGGCCTGCTGCCAGCCCACATGAACGGAGCACCAGTGGCACCCAGTGGCCTGGCAGTCCGACCACAGAATTCTCTAGACACAAGTGGGCTCTTCCCCGCCTCCCCCACCCCCCTTGCCGAGTCAGATCACAACCCCGGCTCATCCTGATGAAGATTAATTCTCCAGGTGATTGAACGGGTTAGTTTGCTCTGCTCGTTCCATTTCCCCAAGTCAGCTCATGAATGGGGGCTTGCAGAACCAGCCAAGTCATGCTCCCCAAAGGCGTCCACCTTCAGTGTTTCCCAAAGCCCGGGGATACAGTTTGTGAGTAGCTTCACTCCCTCTGACCCTTTTTAATTTTTCTATTTTAGAAATCATCACAGAAATCAGCGACCTCTCAGTGTTTAATAATACCTGTGTGAGGTGGCAAGTAAACCCAGGAAGCCTGCAGTCCAGGACAACGTATGTGGTAAGTGCAGTGACCTGCTCTTTCCTGCCTGGACTCGGGCCAGTGGCTTTCCCGTCCAGCTGTCCTTCGGAAAAGGGAACAGAGATTTTAAGATGCCTAGATTGTTTGGGTTTACATTTTGTGTTTAATGTATTTGTCTTTGACAGTGTGTGTGTGTGTGTGTGTGTGTGTGTGTGTGTGTGTGTGTGTGTGTTTGCATTCAATCCGTCACTGTCACTTGTGTTCAAGCACTTGGTTTCACTTCCCTGGAGAATGAGCTAGCCTGGAAGCATCTGGGTTGGGAGGCAACATGTAGTCCTCAACCGGGGCTGCCTCCATTATTGGTGGTGGGCTCGCACGCACGTATTTTTTTTTTAATGTAGGAGTACTGCTATTTATTCAGCCACTGATTAGCTGATTGAATTATGCATGAACTCCACCTTACTTTTTTTTCATTTTTTATAATTTTATTTATTGAATCACCGTGAGAGCAGTTACAAAGCTTTCGGGTCTAAATCTCGGTCATACAATGAAACACCCATACCTTCACCAGTGCCCATTCTCCACCACCAACAACCCCAGTATGCCCCCATCCCTCCCCCTACATGTGGGGCAGATGATTTCTACATTACTCTCTCTCTACTTTGATCACATTCACTATTTCGACACCAGACCCACCATTATTTAAGATTTTACCCCAACACTCAGATCTGCTGAAAAGGCAACAATAGACAATTTGTGTTCTATTGCTGGTTATGAATAACACATGATGTCGCGTGGCTGCAGTAGGGCCATGTGATTTTGAAATTCTGAAACTTTAACACTTAAATTTAGAGGGATTTATGCCAAAATCTGCTGGGTTTCGAGATTTGCTCCTGAGTCTCTGGGATCATGGCCGTTGAGCAGCTTGATCAGGAGCCAGAGAGGCTGTTCGTGGGCAATGATTTGGGGTCTTGTTGGGACGGAGAGACCAGGACCGGTTTCACCCGCATCCTGTGAGGCCCAACAAGTTTCGTCACTGCGGGTCCAGACCTGACTGCCCAATGGCCTCTGGAGGATGATGGCCACTGAGCCGCCAAGGGGGAGCAGGCAGAGGGACAACACCCTTTTCCCCCTGGGGTGGCCTGGCAACAGTAACCTACTGTGGGGTCCGGACGCATTTCTGCCAAAAGCCGCTGGGTTTCGAGATTTGTTTCTGAGTCTCTGGGATCATGGCCATTAAGCAGCTTGATCAGGAGCCAGAGAGGCCATTTGTGGGCGATGACTTGGGGTCTCGTTGGGGTGGGGAGGACAGGACCGGCTCCACCCCCATTCCGTGAGGCCCTGCATGTCTCATCACTGGGGGCCCAAACCTGACTGTCCAGTGACCTCTGAAGGATGGCGGCCACTGGGATGCCGAGGGGAACAGGCCAAGGCACGAAACCTATTCCCACCTGCGTTGGCCCAGCACCGGTAACCTACTGCAGGGACCGGACACATTTCTGCCAAAAGCCGCTGGGTTTCGAGATTTGTTTCTGAGTCTCTGGGATCATGGCCGTTAAGCAGTCCGATCAGGAACCAGAGAGGCCATGCCTCCAATTATATAGCTGAGCTGGAGGTGGTTTGTGGGTGTGTCTCCCACATACCTAACTTTTGGCCGTTTACTTTCTTGGTAAACTTTGCCCCAAGTTTTTGGGGTCTGACCAAAGGCACCGCAGCAATTTTGGGGTATCTGAAAGTCTGAAGGCGCCATCAGGCTGCTGATGTACTCGCCTCACAGGTACAGACTGACCTGCTGGCAGCACCATACCCCCAGTGCACGCATGTATTTTATGTCTCTTCATCATATCAGTCTCCCTTTCATGCCTATTTTGGGTTGAGTGGATACTAGTGATGCTTGGGGGTTACTCCTGTCTCTGCTCAAGAATTACTCTTGGGGGTGGGTTGGGGGGGCCCTCAGGAGGCTTATACAGGCTGCAGGGATTGAACCCGGATCAGCCATATGCAAGGCAAGAGCTTTACCCTTACGTAGTAATATCACTCTGGCCCCCACACTTGATTACTGGGATGAACTGACTTATCCACAGAGAGCGGGAAGCAGAGATTTCTGCTACTTGAGTTTCCCCAGAAGGATGAGCGCAGGGGCAGAGAAACCGTGGGAAAGCCAGACTCAGTATCATATAGTCTCTTGGTTCTAACTGGATTCTCAGTGGATTCTCCTGCCTTTTTCCCCTCTCCAAGATCCACTTCAAAGGACAACAGCTGGACCCTCAAGAATTGCTTCATGAGGAGACCGTCACCTTGGCCACAGACAGCAGGACCCCAACAGTGTGCCTGGATCTGCAGCAGGCCACCAACTACACCGTGAGCATTTCCACTGCCCCTCCCAGACGCTCAGTGCCAGCCGTCATTGGGTTCGAGACAGCTGGTAGGTGGAGGGGAAGTGGCATTTCTTCTTAGAAAATGCCCAGTGCAGGATGGGGGCGGGGGGTGAATGTGCTTTTCAGGTCAACTAGGTGGGTCCGGAGGCCGGGGTGAGGTTTCACAGTTGTTTTCCAAGATTTGCAGCCAGAGCCCTGCGAGAGCTCCCAGGGGGAAAACCAGAGCCATCCCAGACCCACTGATAGTCACCAAGCAGGCCCTGCTCTGCTGTCCCTCCTCGGTGGAGGCCCCTGGTCAAAGTGCCCGGCACTAGAAGCGTATTTGCAAGAGGAGAGAACATCCAGTGATGAGAGTCCCTAGTTATCCTAGCTGTGAAGGATAGCCCAGTAGGAAGAGCCTTCTCTTCCTCTGAACTACGTATGAGAGGAGCAGCTAGGAGGCTCAACCAGCAGTCTTCTCTCTGGGCTGGGAAACCAGCATCAAGGCTGATGGGGCCTGGGGGAATCCAGCCAAGCATGACCCAGTGTGTGGAGGGAGGAAGCCCCACTGCTGGAGGAGGACGGATGTGGGTGAGAAGAAGTAGGCACCAAAGAGCATTAAGCCTCATCACACACAGCTAGCACATGGACTTTTACTGTATCAGTGTGCCAGTTACAAAAAAAGGCTTTTTTATTCTCCTCATTCTGGTTATCGGATGCCAGGACTTTAAATCCCTGAGAAGCAAATCCGGAGAAGGCAGTGGTGTCGCTGGTTATTGAGGGAGCCAAAGTCAGTCTTAACTAGCAGTTTGATGTTCCACTTGAGAAAATAGACCTTAAACGGGTTCAAAGGGCAGAGAGGGGCCCAGTGGACTGTGGTGGGAGGGCATGTGCACTTCACTGGTGTGTGTGGGAACTGGTACCCCTAAAATGTATGTGTTCTTGAAAACTAAAATATAAGAACAATAAAATAAGAGAAAAATAGACCTCAGCCATCGGTTGTCGACCTCCAGATCCCAAGACATGTCGTGGATCTGACAGAAACAATAGTAAAGTTACAGTATCTTTTTCCTTGAGTTTTGGGCTCCACTAAGTAGAACTGGGGGCTCCTCCCAGCCAGGGGCTGCACTCACTCCTGGTCGACAGCCTGCAGGACCACCCAGGGCTCCTGTGTGCAAAGCATTCAGTGCGGCCCTCTGAGCTCTTCCTTGGTCCCAAGACCACTCGGTGTTTTGGGGTTTTGTTTTTGTTGGGGGCCACACCCAGCAGAACTCAGGGCTTACTCCTGGCTCTGCACTCCAGGATTAGTCTTGGCAGGGCTCAGGCGACCTTACGGGGTTTCAGGGTCCAAGCTCCAGTTGGCTGCATGCAAGGCAAACGCCCTATCCACTATCTCTCTGACCCTAAGACCACTAGTTGTTTTTTTTTAACTTTTTTTTTTTTTGGAATCACTGTGACCCTTACAGAGCTATTTATGATTAGATTACAGTCATACAGTATTCTAACACCCACCCCTCCACCAGTGAACATTTCCCAGCACCAGTGTCCCCAGGTTCCCTTCATCACACCCCCTACTCCCTACCCCCTGCCTGCCTCTATGGCAGGCATTTTCTTCTCTCTCTCTCTCTCTCTCTCTCTCTCTCTCTTGATTCTCTCCCTCTCTCTCTGTCTCTCTGTTTCTCTCTGTCTCTGTCTCCTCTCTCTTTCTCTCTCTCTCTATCTCTCTCCCTCTGTCTGTTTTTCTCTCTCTCTCTCTCTCTCTCTCTCTCTCTCTCTCTCTCTCTCTCTCTCTCTCCTTTTGGGCATTGAAGACCACTAGTTTAACTAGATAAAACCAATGGTGAAATTACACTAATGACTTCCTTAGGTACTTGATAAACAAGAGAAAATCATTTCTAAGTAAATAGTATGCAAGGAAACATGGTATAAGATCAATATAATAACTCATTAGAGAAACTTTTATGAAATTGATAGTAAATTGCCATGAATTTCTTAGGAAGCTGTCTTCTTTAAAAGATGATCCCAAGAAAAATAAAACAAAGCAGATCCTCCCAGGACTGGAGCAGTAGTGCAGGGGCTAAGCTGCTTGCCTTGCCCGAGGACGACCTAGTTCAATCCTTGGCATCCTGGTGCCATGTAGTTCTCAAGCACCCCTGGGAGTGATTCCTGAGCACAGAGCCTAGAGCACTGGTACCACCAGGAATGGCCTAAACACAGCCCTCTTCCTCTGGAAGGAAAAGTCATCCAAGATAAAAACAATAAATGAAAATCATCCCAGAACATCAAATCCATCAGTCGCTGGGCAGACAAAGACTTCTTACTAATATCACATTATTTCCTCTTCAAGGAAATTTCCATTGAGAATATTGATTTGGGGTCTGTTTGAAATGGTTTTGCATATTAATTTAGCCTTGAGGAGTTAAGGGTGAGTTTTAGAATGTCTTCAGGACCTTTTCCTCACTCCAAATTGGATTAAATGTGCAAGTTAATCTAGCGAAAATTGGAATTTCTCTTGGGTCACTGCCTCAATTGAGAACAAAGGTATGGTTTTCTACCATTTCTGTTTTCTATATTAACTTTGTCTCCCTGCTTAGTTTTGTACTCCTGTAAACGCATCATTCTCTTCTTCAGGGTTCTGCATGTTTACTTAATCTCATTATGACAATTTTCTTAATGAACTGTGAAATTTTTAATATTTTTTTGCTCTGAAAATGTTTATATCATCTTGGAATTATTTCTTTCCTTTAATGCTGGACACATTTGCTCATTAGATGACTTTTTAAAAAAAATAGTCAAAGTTTTAATCCTTTGGAAAATGAGTCTTGTTAACCGTCATTTTTTCCTGTGAGATTTCTTTGATCTGTTGATTTTCTAAATTTCTTGAATTGCATTTTTAAATTTATATTTTCTTAAAATTTGTCTTTTGAGATTTAAAAGTATCTGCAGGGGGCCGGAGCGATAGTATAGCAGGGCATTTGCTTTGCACACGCCCGACCCGGGTTTGATCCCTGGCATCCCATATGGTCCCCCAAGCACCGCCAGAGGTAATTCCCGAGTGCAAAGCCAGGAGTGACCCCTGAGCATCGCTGAGTGTGACCCCAAAGCACTGCAGCACTGTAGCTCTGTCCTCCCCTTGCTCATCTGTTTGCTCGAGCGGGCACCAGTAATATCTCCATTGTGAGACTTGTTGTTACTGTTTTTGACATATCAAATACGCCACTGGTAGCTTGCCAGACTCTGCCGTGCGAGCGGGATACTCTCGGTAGCTTGCCGGGCTCTTCGTGAGGGGCGGAAGAATCGAACCCGGGTCAGCTGTGTGCAAGGCACCCGCCCTACCCACTGTGCTATCGCTCCAAGTGACATAAACATACAGATGTATACAGATGACATAAACATAGAGTTGCAACATACAGATGACATAAACATAGAGATACAGATGACCCAAAAAGGAAAAAAAAGTATCTGTAGGCTTGTCATAAGAATATTTGTCTCCAATTCCCTTGGAGGCATAGGTTATATAATCTTGGGTTTTTCTGATTCCTAATCTTTGTTTCCTTTTAAAAATTTACTCCTGGGACTGGAGTGATAGTGCAGTGGGTGAGGCGTTTGCCTGGCACACAGCTAACCTGGATTTCATTCCCAGCATTCCGTATTGTGCCCTGAGCACCACCAGGAATAATTCCTTAGTACAGAGCCAGAAATAACCCCTGCACTTTGCTGGGTGTGACCCCAAAAAACCAAACCAAGCAAAAAATTACTCACTTAGGTTGGATTATCTGTTTTATTATTGTGTGTTTCTGGCAAAAGAATAAACTCTTGGGTTTTTAAATATATATATATATTTTTTTTTTTCTATCTCACTAATTCTCTTCTTGTTCTTATGCTTTTTATGTTCCTGTTTCTCTTAAATTAATTACATTGTTACTGAATTCTAGAGTTAGGTGCATAATTCAACTTGTTACCATTCTTTTCCATTTACAAAGGAAGCTTTAATACACTACTTCCCTTCTAAATTTGAGCTTTGACAGAATTCCTTAGACATTGATACTTTGTACTCTTTATTCTTTACTTTTAAAGCATACTATAATTGCCATTCTGATTTTTCCTTTGATCAGAGAATTATTTATGAGTGTGTTAATATATGTTCTCTTTATCCTTACTTTCAAAGCACTATATAATTACTGTTTTGATTTCACCATTGGCTGAAGGGTAAATTATGTATTTTATACAAAAGTAGATATTTTCTTTTTTAAAAAAATACATGGTTATTTATAGTTTTATTATATTTTAGTATTCTTCAGGGTGATTTATTGACATATTCTTGAGGCTTACTATTTGCGTTGCTTTGTGATAAGGTGGATTATTTGCTTGTGGGTTGCATAAGATCTAGATCACTTAAGACTTCAGGTGTTTGCTTAATAGGCTTGCCATTTTTCATAATTTCTTATAAAATTATTTTGTTTCGCACTTTGATGTTATGATATTTATCTTCAAGACTGATAACTTAATTGTAGATGTTCAGCTTTTACTAGTAACAAATGGTTTCCTTTATTCTATTCAACATTTTTTGCTTTGAAAAACACTTGATGGTAATATTAGTTTTCTTGAATTTTTTGTGTTTCTTTTTGGATTTTTTTTCTCTCACTTTGTTCTTAAATAATAACTATATTGCAGTGCTGTAGATGAGTGGTTTTTTAGTTCTGGTCTACAGACAGCTCTGCAGGTGACAAAAGGGTAAAAACCTCCGTAAAAGACAGTTGGTTGAGAGTCTTTTGGAAATGCGTATTTTTGGGTATAGAATCAATTTGCGTTAGTGTTGTTTGTAATATACTTTTCTTTTTTTCTGTCATCTTATTTTTTTCTCTTTTGTGACACTTTTTTGTGCCCAATCTTTTTTTTTACTACACAGATTTTCTTTCAGTGATTCTGCAGTATAGCTTTTGCTTTTATTCTGTAGCATACATTAAAAAGAATCTTATTTTATCACGTATTTCTTTGATTATCAGTATTAAGACTCAAATGTCAGTGATTTCCTGAATGAAATAAGGAAGTTAGCATTCTTTTCTTC